TTTTTTTTCCTCTCCAAGTGAGGACTAATCCCATCCCTGGGCCTGCTCTCTGTTCCCTTCCTGCATTAGAGATTGGCTATAAGGAGAAGGCTGACGGCTGCAGCATGAAGCGCATTATTACCTTGTGATTCCATGACCCTCCTCTATGCATCCCTAACTCTCGAAAGCTGATTCAGCTTTCAGCTAGTGCTCTGGTGAGTCCTCTGCTGCAACAGAAGCTCCTAACTGGTATGTCTTCTTTTTTTTTTCCCTCCTCTCTTCTGCTCCCTGTCTTGCCTTTAACCGCTACCAGCTCAGCTTGGTTTAAACACTTTTCCTGGCCAATGCAGGACTTACCTGCCAATCCAACTTACCCGGGGACTTAAATGTGGGCTTCTGCATACACAAATGTATGTGTGTGTGTGTGCCTGTGTGGGGATTTGCTGGGTGTGTGTTTAATCTGTGGATCGCTTAGGAAACCTCACCCCCCTCTTTTTTTTTTTTTTGTTCTGCTGTGGCATACTCCGCATTTAAAAAAAAAAAAAAAGGAAAAACAAAAAACCAAAAACTAACAAACTGCAGAGCAAGCAGTGCACTAGAATAATCTGAACTGAAATGTTAGAACTTTGACATGCAACCGTTCTGCAAGGTTAAACCGGCCTTTAAATGCCTAATTCAGACACAGGCTGGCTAATGACACCTGGGGGGATTGGGGCTTTATTTATTTATTTGCAACAAACTAGTGCTATAAGCTGATATCAGGCAGAGCAAAAGGGTGAGAGGTGGTTAAACTTAGCCTAACTTGCAATGATCTCAATGCTGTAGTGATTAACTGTTAAAATGCCGAGAAATGAGTATTAATTGCAGGCGCATGGTTTGTGGATGGTCAGAAAGGGAATATGGGGAGGAGGAGAAGTTAGGTTTCCCTGCAAGGGTTTGGAATTCAGGTTACATGAAGTGTAGCATCAATTGACTGTTATTGCTTCTGCAACTCAGAGTTGACTCTGGTCATTATATTTTATATGATAGTGGTGGTACCTATCACATGGATATATAGACACCAGTTTGGTGAGGTGGATCCTGTGGTGCACACACACACTCATGCAGATTTAGGTACGTTTTATAGCATGCATATGGATATTTTATATGCATCTTTATGCATAGGTATATAAATGCTATATACAAGCAGGTGTAATGTATCACCCAGACACAGCCCATCTCCAGGCTGTGTGGGGAGTGTGGATACAGGTATATGTGTGCCTGTGCCTGAGGGAGTGTGCTCTGTGTAATTGTATAGGCAGAAATCCATGATTTGTGCTGTCAGTTTAATTGCTGGGTTCCTCTCGAGCAGATGGTTGTGTCTGTGGCTCCCAAGGTCTGAGCCCAGTCTCTCTGCCATGGGCTGTGCTGGGACGAGCACCTGCCTCCACCTCGGCCCCGCTGGCATCTCCCTTCTCTGGTGCCCAGCCCTACACAGGGGCTGGATACAAAGTCCCCAAAGGTTTGTGCTGCACAGCTTCAGTTTGACTTTGACACTTGGACCTGAGCAGCACCTTGAGCCTTGGGCAGAGCAGGGATTATAATATACAGCATGTTGCTTTCCATCCCTCTCACCCCTCTCCTTCCCCTTTCGCCTTCAGGCAATACCTCAGGCTCTTCCCTCCCCTTTTATTTGCCCCTTGGCCTCTGCATGATCCAGGTCTCCATCCATTTTTCTCTCCAGAACAGCCACAGTTTTATTGCGCATGTTTTTCTGTCAAGAGCAAGCGTAGGAGCTCAGCAAGCCCAAGTGGGTTGAGGATAGTGGCTGATGTTCACCCACCATCACTCTACTCCTGGTGGTAGCTGGAGGATGGGATCCACAGGGTGCCTCTGGTGTTACATTAAAGGCACCATCACGGCCATTTGTCTGCTCCTCCACCAAATGGCACAACCCTGGAAAGCATAAGATTGCACCCAGAACCTCAAAGCAAATTTCAGCCGCCGCGATGAACTCTGCTGCCGTGGTCGTGTCATTGTCTTCAGTTCTAGTAAGGATTTATAAGGTCATTTTTTTAAAGCTCCTCCACAGGGCTCGCTTTAGATGGCTGGCAGCTGCTGTCCCGCTGGTCTGCAGAAGTTGGGGACCGTTTAGGACAGCCCACGTCAAATGCATTTGAGGAAATCAAATTTGGTACAAGGTGCAGATGTTTAACGGCCCAAGAAGGCCAGTAGCTGTCCTACTGCTGTCAGTCTGAAGGAAATTCAATACCATGGAGCACTTGGCTGTGCAACACCCCACCACCAACACTTTGTTTTTGTTGTTTGTTTGGTTTTTTTTTTTAAATCTGAATTACTCAGACTTTCCTTTATACTCTTCAGCTCTCCCTTTGCTTTAATTTCACTGCAGTCATGCATTACACCAGTGCCACAGCTCCATCTCTCTTCCCCTTAATCCAAACTAAAGGTTGAAATTTGCCTTTAAATGAGACAAATAATGATGGTTAAAAGGGCCAACAAACTGATGGAATGAAGGGGAAGCTGCACAGAGCCAAGACCGAGGCGTGTGCTGGTGTTGCATGAGGGGTGTGAAGCGATTTTTGGGGTTTGGGGCTGAGCACAGCGGATTTACACCCGGACTCTGTGTGGCCTTTGCTTTTCAGTGCTACTGGAAGTCGATGGGGCGCAGGGAAATATTTGCTCCCCAGCCGGCAGTGATATTTTAAAAAGCAGTGAGACGCATCCATGCAATTAGGTATTCCAAAGCGCTTAGTTTGCCACTTGCTAAGTTTACTTAAACCCTCTTTAAAGGGTTCATTAGAAGACTGTGAGGAACGGTAAAATTCATTAACACGGAGGCAGCCATTGCACATTTGCCTGTAAATTGGTATCGATCGGCGCAGGTGAGGAGGCACCGTGCCCGCCCTGCTGAGCGAGCAGGCAGCGCCCGCCGTGACCTCCGCCGCGCTCCTGCCTAAATCCTGCCCATTATAGTCTCCCATTCAGCCCGGGCGGCCAGCGCAGCCCTGCCACTCGGCCCACATTGTTCAGGGAGCTTTAAAGCTCAGCACGGCTGCGAGGGTTTGGAGGGAGAGGGGCAGGGGCAGGGGCAGGGCTGCGTGCGGGACCGAGCCCCGCGGGGCGCAGCGCGGTGCCGGCCGGGGCGCGCAGCCCACGGGGGATGCGGGGAGAACTCGGCAAGGCTTTGGCCCGAGCTCCCAGCACCTCGCCTTGGCTGCCTTTTACGTCTGCAGGTCTTCCCAAAGCCCCTTAGCTGGCGTGGAGCTCAACCGGATGAGTTATTAGAAGCAATTTTTAATTTTTTTTTTTTATTATTTTTAATGCCCTGAACGTGCCGAAAGGCGTGTGCTATCTTTTGGGGGTTGCTTATCTGTGGGGGTAGTGTCTCGCTCCCAGTGACCAGCAGAGGAAAAATCATTGGATTCACTAGGTAAGATGCTTTCTTCTTCCTATGCTTTAATCTCTACTTACTGATAAAGCAATCGCGTGTCTGGGGCTGATGAGTTCTCTTACTCTGGCGAAAGGAGCAGTCCTTCCCGGTGGTGGTTTGTAAATCAGTAGCTTGCCATTCGATTCTTGGCTTTCTGAAAACAAATTGGCTTTTTGTTTCCAAATTGTAGGATGGAGGCAATTGGGAATTGATAGATATTTAACTTTCTCCCACATGGCTTTGTCTGGAATGAAACCCATATGCGTGTACAGCAAAGGCTTTCCTCTAAACCACATTTTTGTCTTTTTTAAATGCTGGAAGTTTATGATACAGAATGAAACACCTACTTTTTAGGTGGAGTGGGAGGCTGGCTTTTACTCTGTGCCGTTTACGTTTCAAAGAGCCCCTGCTAGGGCAGCCACTGGACCTCTGCTGCTTTGTGTCCAGTGAATTATGCAGTTCCCCTTCCCAGGACCCAAAATCCATCATCTGCCGAGGGCTCAGCCCAGCATTACGGGCAAGGATAGGGAGCTGGGGTGTGTGTCTGTCTGCACATGGGCTGGGCAGGAGGAAAGTCTGCTGGTTTGAACTGAGCCGTAACTCACTCTCAGGATGTAAATTGTAAATCAGCGTTATTTTTCCTCCTGTGACCATATAAATGCGCATATTGAAACTACCTGCTTGAGAGACATACTTCTTTATATGCCCATATGAACCTGGCAAGCTATGGAATGTAAAGAAGTATGTATTTCAGGTGGGAATCCTTCTCAGAGGAGCAATGTGTGACCCCGGGCAAGGCGGGGGAGAAAGACAGACAGATTATTTTATATTATTATTTTTTTTAACTGCCTGACCCGGCAGACTGACTGGGGAGTCAATTGATGATCTTGTTCCAGCGCGTGTATTGTTCTGTCACTTTGCCTGTGTCAGCAGGTGGAAATGCTCATCAGGACATTAAATATTCAATATGCTGACTGCGGCATGGGCTTTGAAAGGCGATGCCAGAGGAAAGCTGGCTGTCCGCTCCTGGGTTTTAACAGGGATGCAGGCCAATCCCTCCCTTCTCCTGCTTCTCCATCGACCCCTTTTACCCCAAAAATAAGGCTGGATAGCAAACAAAGCTGGCTGATCTTTAAATCTAGGAACAACAAAAGGAGGTGGATGGCGGGGGAAGAAGAAGAGAGAGGAAAAGGAGACAACAGTTGCCGTGCAGTGTTTTAGCTTTAAATTAGTGTGCAAATTCCACTTTTTGAATCTTCCCCACATTAAAACTTTTTGTGCTTAAAACTGGTGAGGAGGACACCTTCCTTGTCAGTGTGGTGAGCCGTCGAGTCAGCGGATCACAGCTAAAGCCAGAGGAGTGCCCTGAATATAGGGGTCTTAAATAAGAAAATTAGATCCTAATTCTGGAAGCCTTTTCCTTTGTAACATTTTCCAGTGTAAAATAGTTGGCTATGTTTACAGGATCTTACAATAATGTGGCAAGATAAAAGAAATTTAGTTTAAAGACACGTTTAATGTTCTGCCTAGGCGGGAGTCACATCCGAGGGTTTAAAGCTTTCAGCCCCAAATTGCCTCATGTTTCTGTGAAGTTGCAAGGATGTGCAAAGCTGAACTCCTCCAAAAGGCACTTCCCAGTTTCCCAAACTCCAGTTTCCATCTCTGTGGGGCCGCTGAGGGCAGCATTTTGCTTTTGAGTGATTTCCTTGCAATCACAACCCCATCTTTGCCTTACTCACGGGCTCGTCAGGCATCGTTTGGTAGGTGTGGTGCCAGGACATGTCATGCAGAGGTTAATCAAGTCTTTCCCATGGCAGCA